TTTCCCTATTGCTTTTACTGGCAGGTTACATATCATTTTAAACATCTTCCCAACTGGCACCAACTGCCTTTAAAAGGAGGTTTTACACATTAAGTATTTAATCTTTTAATAGATACTTGTAACTTTAATTAATCTTTATTAAAACACATGCATGCTCTTGCAAAGAGGTAAGTGTGCATTTTATAAAGCAACAGCATTATAACTTGGCCATAAGCATTCCCCTAAAGCAGAGGTGGCTAACAGGGCTCTGCGAAGCTTCGGTCACTGATTTGATTTGGTGGTTGAATCTCCAAATCGAATCAGGAGACCCCTTAATCTCTCTGAATTGAATTGGAACCCTCCGAATCAATTCAGTGAGATTCGACAATTCAGACAGTCACAGCTTTAAATGTTTTTTCTACATACCTCAAGGTACCAGGAGGCTTGTGAACACTGAGATGGTGGGGTAGATGGAGTGTCCCACAGGAGTGTGGTGGAGTCCCCAGCACACTCTGCAGCGGACCTGGAAGTGGACCAGAAGCACTTCCGGTCCAGTTCTGGATCCACCACCAAGCACACGGGGGGGACCTCCGCGATCCTGTGGGATGCTCCATCTGCCCCACCATCTCAGTGTTCATGAGCTGTTCAGTGATACCTGGTACCTCAAGGTATGTAGAAGACACATTTAAAGCTGTGTCTACGGCTGAATCGCTGATTCTCCAAATCTGCACCAAATCTTCAGGTTCAGATTTGGCTGAATCAAATCAGGACAGTGATCTGAATCAACGAATCAAATCACTGCCCCCTGAATCGGGCTGAATCAAATACAGCCTGCTTCACGCACCCCTAGTGACTAACCTGTGGCTCTGGAGCCACGTGCAGATCTTTAGAAGTTAGTATGCATCTCCTTGAATGTTTCCATAGCTATTATGTCACGTGTGCTTGTGCAAATTGGTCACTGTGTGGTTGTGCAAAAATTCAAGGAGACTCATATTAACTTCTGAAGAGCTGCATGTGGCTCCGGAGCCACAGGTTAACTACCCCTGCTCTAAAGGGTGCAAAAGTACATTCTTCAGCATGTAATCTTCTATATATAAAAATTATCCACTTCACTTCTAGAAGTTTTAAGCTACTGTCCTACAAAAAACATTAATTTCTTGAATCTAACCATGACAATCTAGAAACCTTAGTTGTTATATTAAGATGCAATTTATAACATTTTACCTCTTCAAAGCATTGAACATTAAGAATAACTACAAACCAGAACTTTTGATCATAATACCTTTAATACTTTTCACTTTTAAATACTGGTTTTAAAATTTGTGATTGTAACATGGAAGAGCCAACTTTTTAATTTTTAAAACTTATCATTAGGATCATAAAGCTATCAGAACAAACAGTTACACTCTACACACTCAAGGTACTCAAAATGTGATTTATGTTTCCAGTCTGTAGATGAACAGTGGTAAATTCAACAGTACAACTGTGGACAAAAATGAATGGTGGACAATCTGATTAGTTTAAAGAAAAATCAGCACAATTTCAGATAAGACAGCTCAGCCCAACTAGGTAAAAAAAGTTTGCCCTTCAAGTGCCAATGGGCTCTTTTATAGCGAAAGTGTGTCAGATTGTTCAGTCTGAAAAAATGGTTTAGATAAGACACTGAACAATTTCCAGTGTTTACTGGGGATATAGGATCAAACTGCCGTGTTAGGTATTCCACAGTTATCTAATTTGGTTAAGACAACAGAAACTGGGGTACAATCCCATGTAAAAATTGCTGCTTTTCTTTTCTCCAATTGGGCTGAATTAAACTGAATTGGCATACCTTTGAAACAAAAAGTTACAAGGGCAGGGATCCCTGCTTAAAAATGGAACTGAAACTGTAGGAATAAGACAGTTACATAAAATTGAAAGAAAAAAGAGCCCAAGTGTTGGAAGTGGGATTAAAAAGATTTAAGAAAGCCCCAAAAGTAAGGAAGGCAGGAGATCTTTTCTGGAAGAAAGAGTATAAATCGCTACACATCTGAATAGCCCGAGAAGCCTATACTTTACACACTTATTTTAAGGGTCAATACCTGTGACCTTGACCTTGTAACATTGAATAATTTCTTAGACATCTCTTATAACTCTTATTGGGCAGGGCTTGCTGCAGTGAAGTACAAGTGATTTTATCTAAAAGTAAAAGGTATTCTTTACAAATAGTATCTGTAGTGTATTTTTATTTACAGAATAAATTGCAAAAGTACATCACATTTAGTGCAAATGCAACTAATGATATTATGATTTATATACTGCTTTGTAAACTTTCCATACAATTGTAAAATAAAGCTATCCAATTAAATTAAGAAAATTACTTGTCTGTGTTCAGTTGAAAGGAGTTAAACATTTATACATTTGGGATATATAATTATTTTTTGTAACGTTCCCATCAGTGGCTATGGCAGATGAATCATTGTTCAATTGATTGTAAAGATGAAGCACATTTGAGGTAAGACATTCTTTAAATATTATACAAAATGCTCACTGGTGATGTAGTAAACGTACAGTTTTTCATCTTATTTGCCTTGCTAACATTACCATATAGGCACTTTTCTATATAATCAAATTAAGAATAGAATTATTCTGCAATAAGGCATATTCTATGCACATCATTTAAAAAGGCAAATAAAAAAGGAGAAAAATTATGGAGCATGAAATCTATGTGCATGTGTTTAACCATATTATGAATGTTTCTAATTTTTTTATGCAAAATAAAGACTAACATACAAGGAAGTAATTCATTTTTAACACTGTGCAGGTATCTTATTTAATTAGCCAAATTTAATTGAATCCATTTTATATAACAATAAGTTTAATTTAATCTTCAGGTACCTGCTATACTATACCAAATAAAACTTTCTTTTGGAAAAAAAATATATCTCTGAATCTCACATTTTGATACAAAAGTGAAATGCCCAAGAATACCTTGGAATAGTCTCCAACTAAAAGGACATCAAATAAGATGTTTTTTAAAGCAAGTCCCAGCCTCTGCCACAAACATCTCCTAGTGACTCTATTAAAGCAAGTACCAGCCTCTGCCACAAACATCTCCTAGTGACTACTTCCAGAGACATGCAAAATATTTGATATTTACATTTCTCACAGCAACTAAGGGGAACTTTTCTTTTAGAATCTATGGATTTTCATCTCTTACATTTTTTGATCAAGAGGTAAACATTAACGCAACTTATATTTCTGCGTGAACCTCAGAGCATGGCTTTATTAAGATGAGAAACAAGACGTGCAGGACCAGGAAATAATATACTTGCTTTTACTTCCAGACTTGGAATGTTGCCCTATATAGTCCAATTTGCTTCAATAAATATTACAGTGTACCTTTCACTGTTTCAGGAAAACCCTGGATATCATGCAAGAAAGCAGCCCACATGTAGCATGGATAGACCACCACTGTAGCTTTGCAGTCAGTTTTTTGCCTGCTCATACAGAATCTAACTAGAAATTTCTGGATCATGTTCAATAACAAAAATTCTGTAGCACATATTACATAACTAAAAAATACAATAGAAATATAAAGATATCTGGAAAAAATAAAGCTTTTCACACTCTTCCTCCCTCAGAGCCAAAGGTCTTCATAGGAGTAAGACAATAGAAAAGGCAAAGTCATAAGGATATTGACAGCCCTCAGTTAATAACTGACATTTTACATAACAAGATTATTCATTTTAGAAACAAGCAGCAATAAACTATGATTATACAAAGCAAAACAAAACCTGCCAAAAAGTCACCTAGATTGTACTGCAAACCTGTAAAAATAACACAAACAGGTTTTTGTGCATATAAAGCACATACGGGATGCTATATGTGCATTTGTCTTTTGTGCTTTTTAGACATGCACAAAAACAGGAACTGTGTGAGTTATCTTATAAAGGTCCACAGCAAACAAAAGCTTTGCAAATTGTTTAAAATTAAAGCAGTAACCCAAGTTGGTGATTCAAAGTTGTATTTCTCTTCTCTAAAGCAAGCAAATAAAAAGAGCCATATACATGTATCAATACATGTATTTATAATTACACACTGATTCAGCAG